CACACACACACACACACACACACACACACATACACTTATCGAGTGTGGGTAGGGTACACGGCAAGAAGCAGAACAGAGAGCTACGGACAGAGGCAGCAGAAAGAATGAAGAAACAAGGAGACATAGCAGAACAGACCACCAAAGATCTACAAAGACTTTCGACGACGATCAGATCAGGGCCCGCAAAGAAGCGCATCCATCTCGTATGGCTGCAAGCGCATTGGGCAGTCTCAACGGTATCATAATTAAATGAGAGAGGAAGATAAAAGCTGAAGAAATCTGCCACAGCTATGCCAGGGCAGAAGAAACAGCTAAACAGTTATCATAATGGTGGGAGTGCGCAAGATCAAGGGCAACATGGAGATGGTGCGAGAGACATTGTGGAGGGGGCATTTATACAAATGTCAGGTGGCAAGACCAGTTACTTTGCGTCCTGATAGGTCTTCTGGAAGAGGGTTTACCCTCCCACAATAGGCCCACAAAGGTGACGGACACGTTGTCACGGCTTGCAGAGTGACCATCATTATTTTGAATGTGATGTGGTGGGAAAGGAATCCAGCTGTGTTCAGATGGGAAAATAATAAATTCCAATGGCCAATGATCTGGACTCTATAGCCAACTAGCAGACTAAAGACCATGTAGACTATGTATAGACAATCTACAAACTACAGGCTTTGTATGTACTATGTACAGACTGTAGGTATGGACTATGTATCGACTGTAGAGTACGTACAGACAATCTACAATCTATCGACCGTCTATAGACTATGTATTGAAAATCTGCAGCTATGTGTAGACAATCTCTAGACTATACACCATGTAGACTATGTAAAGAAAATCTACAGAGTAAGTACAGACTCTAGGCTCTGTATTGACAATGTATAGGTATATATTGTAGAACCGTAGGTCCACACTATGTGTAGACTGTAGAACGGTAGGCATACACTATGTATAGACTGCAGAACGGTAGGCATACACTGTGTATAGACTGTAGACTATGTATGGACAATCCAAACAATCTACAGACTATCGACAATCTATAGAATATATATAGACGATCTAGTACTATGTATAGACATCCACGGGCTATATGTCGTGTATAGTTTGTAGATAGTCTATAGTCTACATGGTCTATAGTCTGCTATACATAGTCTATACCTTCTGTCTATACATAATCTATACAAACCCTATAGTCTGTAGATTGTGTATACACAGTCTACACGATCTATCGTCTGTAGATTGTCTATGCATAGTCTACAGTCTATACACAGTCTGGTCTATAGTACATAGTCTACACAAATCCTATAGTTTGTAGATTGTCTATGCATAGTCCACATGGTCTATAGTCTGGTATACATAGTCTATACCTACTGTCTATACATACCTGCAGTATACATAGTCTATACCTACTGTCTATACATACCTGCTGTCTATACATAGTCTATACATAGTCTATACATAGTCTATACATAGTCTATACAACTCCTATAGTCTGTAGATAGTCTATACCTACTGTCTATACATACCTGCAGTCTATACATAGTCTATACATAGTCTATACATAGTCTATACATAGTCTATAGTGCATAGTCTGTATAGTGTGTAGATTGTCTATACATAGTCTATACATAGTCTATAGTGCATAGTCTGTATAGTGTGTAGATTGTCTATACATAGTCTAC